CTAGCCAACAAAATGCAGTCTCTCTGGCTAGAAGCCCAGCTTCTTTGCTGCACCACAAGTGAGTCTGGCTGCCCTTCTCTATACCCACATGAGTTCCTATACTCTTTCACTTGTTGGTTTGCTAGTCTTAGGGCTTGAGTTCAGGGCCTGGGCACTGTCCCTGAGCCACTTTGTGCTCAAGGCTAATGCGCTACCACTTAGTCTGGCTTTTTCTGAGTACTTTATTGGAGATAAGAGTCTTGCAGACTTTCCTGCCTAGGCTGGCTTTGAACAATGATTCTTAGATCTCACCTCCAGAGTGGCTAGGATTACAGACATGAGCCACCAGCATCCTGCTTGGGTTCCTATATTGCTATTGTCAGTTACAGCTGGTGAATCTTGCTTGGCACTTCCTTGTCCTTTATCTTACAATAGCAAACTCTTGTTTTAATTCTTGAGAGAGTTGGCTCACATCTCTTTCCCTTGACCTCCAACAAACTTACTACACTATTCTCCCTTCAATCTCCTCTTCACATTTCTAGTAATTTGATCAGAAAATACTTATTGAGGTCCCAACCCCCAGTGCATTGCTCAGTACCTAACTGTTGAATGAATGAAAGAATGAATGATTGTTTACTATCTACCTAAAGCAAAATATCCTTGGCTTATGCATTGGTTTTCTTTCAGTTGTACTGTTAGAGTAAAATACATAGGAAATAACACATTATCATTTGAAATAACCACTAATATAATTCAAAATTCATTAAGGTCATTAAGGAGTCTCAGGCATGAATGATCCTTTTCCTGTAGAAGATGATGCTTGCCGTTCACCAGATTTCTGGTTCTCTTCAGAAACCAAAATGAATTGCAGATTTGCCTCATCTGCTCAGGCAACGTAGAATGTCACGTGACTTTTGTCAGTTACTAAAATGTGAGCAAGAGTGATAGCCTGAGTTCCGGGCAGAAGCAACTGAGCATGCATGGGTAACCTTCTGGCCCTGCCTACCTTGGTTTCCTGTAACTGAAAAAGAATTTACCAGAACTGGGTGACTTGAAACATCCAGTTTATTCTTTCATGGTTCTGGAGGTTAACGGTTCAACATGGCTCCTTGTAAAGGCTCCTAGGGAGAACCTTCCTGGTCTTTGCATGTTCTGATGATTGGCTGGCTATCTTGTTATTCATTGGTTTACAGATACATCACTTCAATCTCTTCATCCATCTTGTGGTGTCCTCGTGTGTGTGTGTGTGTGTGTGTGTGTGTGTGTGTGTGTGTTTGTGTGTGTGTGTGTGTGTGTGTGTGTGTCTTTCCACTGTGCCTTGGTATCCAAATCTCCCTTTCGCTTACAAAGACATTGGCCATTGTATTTAGGATTTACTCTAATCCAGTATAAATGCATCTGCAAAGTCTCTACCTCCAAACAAGATCACACTGACAAATAGCAAGGATTAAGCCTTGAACATAGCTTTCTAGAGGATACAGTTTAACCCATTACATGAACCTCTACTGTCCCTCAGGAAGCATGTGTCAGAGCAGCCTCTATCAGCCTGGGTCCCTGACTGACTCCCATGGGATAGCTGTGTGTCCCCAGGCTCACCACATTTCAATGACATGGCCTCTATGAAGAGAGTGGCAGGCCCATCCCCTGACAAGTAAAGCATCTAGTAATTTGGGGGTTTGTTGCCTGTATTTAATTGATGTGTATAAATGAAAGGTGTCTACATTGTATCATTGACTTGTAACCTGTTTCTGAATTGTTCTCCATAGAGGATGCTCCTATTGATCCTCAATTAGTACTGAGTGTAGGCTGTGGGCTTCATGCAAGAGGGACGTGCAGGAGATGAGACGTGAGGGTCTTAATGAGAAAGAGCAGGCAGTGTGATCTTGTGAACCAAATGGAAAAGCTCTGTAGCAGTGTGAGCTGGTGATGCTGGTAGAAGACATGTAATGAGACAGAGTAAGAGGTAACATTAACAGGTGCCCCTTCCCAGGCCCTTTGCTTAGTGCTCTATGCGTGCAATTTCCTTTAAGCCCCACAGGACTTAAGGTTGGAATTTTATGTCCATTTTACAGGAGATAAAACAGAGGCTGAAAAGATTAAGGGTCTTGCCTGATAGGCACACAGGATTCCCAGCACCTCTACAAGCATGAGGTCCTGGAGACTCCTCTCTATTATACCTTCTATTTCAGCTCAACTAGAATAGTCTTCTAGCCCTGTGTCTTTACTTAAGAGCTCACGGTTTGCTTGTCCTACAGTTATTCCCTGGCAGATATGTGACAGCAGCGATAGGTTGCAGTAATAAGACAGAATTAAAGCAATAAAAATAAACTACATTTCCATTTCTATTTCATTTTTGGTAGCTCAGCCTTCTTACCTTATTTATGGACTAATCCAAATTCACCCTTTCATCTTTTCATTTACAAGTATTGAAGTTACATGTGATGTTCTAACTTGGCCCATGGATTCAGAAATTACATTGACAGCCTTCAGTTATTTTCTGCAATATTAAAACTTTACAGTGTGGATGGGATGTAGCTCAGTGGTAGAGCACTTACTTGGCCAGCATGCATGAACAAAGTCTGGGTTTGATTCCTAGCATGTCAAGGAGAGGTGGTGAAAAAAAGGAAAAAACAATTTTTAAGGGCAGTTCCCAAAGAAGTCAGGCACAAGCAACGTGCACCTACAATCCTAGCTACTTGGGAGGTTGAGACCAAGGGGATTTTGTTTTGAGGACAGCACTGGCAGAAAAGTCTGAAAAACTTCATCTTGGACTAGTTGCGTGCTAGAGCATGAAGCATGACCTTATTCCCAAAATAACCAGTGTATAAAAGGGCTGCCATCATAGCTCAATAGTAGAGCACTTGTCTAGTAAGAAAAGGCCTTGGGTTCAAATCCCTCTAGTGCCCCCAAAACAAAACAAAAAGTTCCCAAAGAAACAACATGAAATAAAACCAACCCTATTTTTAAGTGTTTCCAACCTTGTTTCAAAACAGCCTTATGAAGATTGTTTCCCAAATAGTCCAGTAAGAGAATCCAGCCACAGCCACGTTGGAAATTGGAATCTTTTTTCCCCCTGTGTAGACATAGCCTACTTTCTCTGCTTAGAGAAACAGGGAATACCCAGACTGGCATTCAGTCGCAGCAAATATGAAATAGACATTTAAAAAAAATTGTAGGAGTGTTCAGATCCATGTTGACTGGTTTTTACATCTACCCTGCCTGCAGCACTCCCAATGCACTGGTTGGCATGGTGACTGGAAAAAGGAAACTTTCCACGCGTCTGTCACTTGCTACTGTTTCCACTTATTTTACTGTGAATCCAATTTTAACAGTTTCTTTTAAAAAGTTTAAAAAAAGCGTTTGATTCCTTTTGTGTTTTCGGTTTCAGGATGTTTCTCAAATATAAAAACATGTGTAAGAAAAAAAAAAGAGCTTTAAAACTCAACGATCTGGGCTTCTAAATATTCAGCTGGTTGGCATTCAGATAATTGTCTTGCCTCTTTCTCATATATGTATTTTTTTCCACCAACATTGTGTCTGGGCTTTGGCCCGGGTGGTGGAGTCTCACAGTCTGAATGTAACTTTGTCCTAACTTCTCTGACTGCATTTGTTAAAAGAGTCTGAAAGATACATCTGCATTCAACAGTATGTAGTCCTTAAGAGACAAGAACATGGAAGTCCTGACTTGTGGAAGAAAGCTAGGCTTTCCCACATGTCATGGCCACACCTAGGTAGGCTTGAATGTCACCTTCGTGGACGTAAACCGTCTGAGATTCTTGGGGTTAGGCTAGTATCACAAATGGAGGGTCAAGTGGGTGCTGGTCTCTTGGAGTGGGTAGAGCCCATTGGGGGTGAATTCCGGCTTACACCAAGGAATCACAGCGGCGCGCTGTGGCACTTCGGGGCGTACGGTGACTTTCCTGCTCTAGGAGGTTGGAGAGCTGGCTGCCCACTTGGCGTTTCGGGGGTGCCTGGGGCTGGTACACGGAGGCAGCCATTCTCATGTCCCGCTGGCATCACTGAAGTGGTCTGGCTGAAGCTGGCGCGAGGCTTTGGAGGGGAGGAGAAGCAGGGTCAGGAACAGATGTGAGAGCATCGAGGGAAGGCATCTGACATGCGAGGAAGAAACAGAGTGGCACAGCTGGAGGAGGGACCCCCTCCACGTCGCCAGGGATGTGGGAAGGGGGGATGGGGGGCGGGGGGGGTGACTTCGCACACTGCCTTTGTTCTCTTACCCTGTTTGCCACGTTTTCCAGTTCGTTGGCCGGCAGGCGTTCACCCAGGAGGACAGAGCCGGTGGCCACACCTAGCATCTACCCCCCCTGCCCCTCCACGGACAGCAGAGCGGAGCAGAACACATCCAGGGGTGCCTGTTGCTCCCGGCACATCTGCACAGCAAATGATCGCGAGTTGGCGGCGCCGACTGCGTGGAGCTCTGGAAACCAGGACAGCAAATGAGTGTCACAACAGCGCTGGGCGCGCGCGGGGCGTGTGTGTGTGTGTGTGTGTGTGTGTGTGTGTGCGTGTGTGCGTGTAAGACGGCTGCAAGCAGGACCCGGGCGACAGCCAGGGACGGGTGGGAGGATGGCCCGGGAGTGGGGTGCCCCGTGGGTGGTGTCGCCTGCGTGGCGCGCGCTCGGGGAGCCGGGCACCCGGCACGTGCGCATCTCAGGAGCGGCGGCGCGGTGGGCGCGCGGGGCGTGCGTGCGTGTGTGTGTGTGTGTGTGTGTGTGTGTGTGTGTGTGTGTGTGTGTGTGCCCGCGCTGTGCCCCCCGCGCGTGCTGCCGGGCGGGCGGGCGGGCGGGCGGGCGCCGGCGTGAGTCACGGCGGGGCTCGCCTTTATAACCGCCGCCAGGCGAAGGCCAGGCTCGCAGGAGCCGCCGCGCCCACCCGCCTGCCCGCCGCGCCGCGCCACGCCGTGCGGCCTGCGATCCGCCCGCCCAGCTGCCCCCCCCCCCAGACCCCTGGATCCCCGATCCCCCAACGGCTCCAACCGCCGCCCGGTCCCATCCGACGGCGCCATGAGGAGCCCGCACTGCGTCCCACGGCTGCTGCTGCTGCTGCTGCTGCTGCTGCTCATGCCCCCAGCAGGGGACGCGGCGGTCATCACCGGGGTAAGTAGCCAGGCGGGACCCACCTGTCCCCTCGCTGTGCGCCCCCGGGGTGCGTCCGGGGCCCGGGGAACAGCTGAAAGGGGGACCCTCCCCCGGGGGTGCGCGAGGGCCTTCCCGTGCGTGCGTGCGGGCGTGCGGGCGGACACCTGTCTTCGTTGGCCTCGGCGCCCCTGGGGCCAGTGCGAGGGGAGCCCCGGAATTTAAAAAAAAATGACCGGAGCGCTCCCCAGCTTCCCCCTTCCACGTCTCTCCCCGCCACCTGGCTCTGGTTTGCCATTGAGCCGAGAGAAGTTTCTTTTGACGATCTGCTCAAGTTCTGCTCGAGGCGCTCGAGCCCCACTCTTAGATTTGGACGACCCCTCCCTGAAATGCAAAGCAGTACGAGGAGCCCTCCCCCCCCCCCCCCCGCCCCCAGCCACTCCAGGCTTTATCCGGCGCTCCCCATGTGTCCGTCTTCCGCAGAAACCCCCTTGAAATAACTTGGGTCAGGGCCATCTGAGCGATTTGAAAAGCAATTGAGAGCTTTTCATACTGGGTTCCGGAGCTTCCCCACCCCTCCGCGTCTCCTCCCCCCCCCCTACTTTTTCTCCTAAAGTGGTCTTGGGGTCCTCCACCCTCACCCCGGTGAACGTTTTCCCTTTCTGATTCCCGATCGAGGACCTGGTGCCCAGTGGTGGCGTGGACAGCCACTGATCAGACTTACACGAGGCCACTGACCCCTAGTTTTGAACAGTTTTCCTTTCGTGTCCCAGACCAAAAATGAGCTTATGGCACAGAATGTAAAGGCTTAGTTTACACCAACGATGCAAAACCTCTCCTGTTTGCTGTTTGTCCAGCAGCTTCACGGTTCCTAAGGGCTAAAGTAATTTACTTAATTAAACCCATTTATTTACTTCATTAAATCACTTCAAATACGGAAGTGCACGTTGTAGGACTGTAAACATATGTATTTGGAAGGGTTGATGCCAAGATCATGAAGTGCCCTTTTACTGAAAAGAAATGCCACTATCTCTTGATACACATAAAATTATTTTGTCTCTGGATTCCTTAACGAGTGTAGGGTATTTTGAATGATTGTGTCTGGTTATATCCAGTAGCTCTTTAATTATATGCTTTGTGGTGTTTATTAGAATAGAGACTTAAAAAAATATTTGTATAGCTGTGTCAGTAGCAAGTCTGTGTATGGGAACAAAAGTTTCTACAGGTCTTTCTAATTGAAACATGATTTTTCCCCCCTCTTCCCCTGCTGGTCCATTTTAAATGACTCCTAATCCTCTGAGCCCGATTCCTTTGCAATATAAGTATCTTTTTGTTCCATTCACAGAATGACACTCTTTGAATAGACGTGCAATGGGTTAAGGATGTGGGGCATTAGGAAACAGTTGTCCAATTAAAAATATATAAACTTAGGCAATTCTTTGAAAGTTTCTCAAGAACTGAAGCTCTTGTTACAAAACCATTTTTTTTTATTACATTGGATATTTATCTGCTGGAGAGATTCACATGGGGCTTATTGTATAGTTGTGTGCCGTTGTTGGTTTTGTTGTTGCTTTAGCCCAGTGTTACAAAAAGAAGATTGTTTTTAAGGCTCTCTAAAGCAACATAGCAATAAAATGTAGTTATGTCTCCCTGACAGGCACCATCTGGATTCAAATGAAAAACTCAATGACTTATCTAGATTTATTGTGTTACAGGATGCTAACCTCTAAGTGATTGATTGAATTTTAAAAGATTTTGGCTGGATTTTTTTTTATTGTCTTATACAAAAAATTGGTGGGGTTTGAGAATTGAGGGTATTGAGCATCTGTTGAAATAAAATACTGGCTGGAACTTCCACCTTAAGTATTTAGTTTTTTAAAGTAATATGTGTGTATGCATTCTGAAATTGATTTATATATTGATATAGATTTGTTACAATAACATTGGCAAAAACTGTTGACTTTCATTTATGGAATGTAGTGGTCATATATGCAGATTCCTGGCATAGTGATAACATTTGGACAATGGAAATGTTTAGCTATTGTCCTATAAAATACAAACCACTCCAATTGAACATCATGCCCTTCTAGCTGCATGTGTGTTTTAAATTGACCGAAGAAAAAGAAATTTCTTATGAAGGAAATAAATAACTTTGGAAGCAACATAATAAATTGGCCAGTTGTAATGAAAATAATCCTAAGAATGTGTCCACAGATTTATGTATTGAGAGATTATATGACACCTTTAAAGAACTGTTTCAGTTCTTTCCAAAAATGTACATTTAAGTTTATGCCTAAACTTTTACTCCATTGCACAAGTAGTATAGGATACTTTTACCTTATCACTCACAGATCAAACAAAACATCCTTGTTTGTGTTGGGTCTGGGCAAGAAAATAGTTCTTCAGATCCATTTTCATGTAGATAAATTTGGACTTCATTGTTTTCATTCCTTACTGTGTAGAAAACTCCTCCAGAGCTGGTTCTGTGGTTGTATGTACTTACAGTTTTTATACCTGGAGCAGGTGTCCTGAGTAATTACTGTTGCCACTTGCATATGCTAATCTGGTGGATTTTTATGGGAGTGCACCCCCCATACTCTTGTACTTTACATATCAGGATATTCCAAGCCAGCAATGTCTTTGTGTTGAGTTATTCATCTAAAAAAAAAGAAGAGGATATGGCATATATCTTGATCTGTCCATTTCTAATGTCGGAGATGTCTTTCCTTCAAGAGGAAATGGTGCAAAACCAAGTTAGCTGTGTGAAAAACAGCAAGTCTCATGAACCAAAATGCAAATATTTGAAAGGGAAAATGAGCACTTCTGAAATTTACATCAGTGTCTTTATGCATCTGGAGTATTTCATGCCAGATTTAGAGACCATTTAAATCTCTTTTTAAAAATTAGGCCCAATGTATTCTGCAGTTAATAGTCATAAAATCCCGTGGTTCGATTTATGTAGTTCCTAATGGCCATGTATATTGGAGGCCTAATATAGACTCATTCTTCAATGTCAACACCAGTTCAGCCATAAAATGCTAGAGAAAGAGAGCTAATTTTTTTTAAATGTCACCTTTAAGATTTTCATCATGTGGGGGCTGTGATTTAGCCTGTATCTGAAAAAACTGGAAAAATCAGAGCAGATTTCATTGTAGAGCAAATGAAGCTGATAGTTCTTTTCTGCCCAGGTTTTATTGAAACCATAGCCTTTCGATATTCAAAGAGTATTTTCTCAGCTAATCTCCAATTTTCCCTGAGTCTCTCCTGCTATCTACATCCCTGTGTTTCTTTCTTGTCTTGCAGGCCTGCGACAAGGACCCCCAATGTGGCGGAGGAATGTGCTGTGCTGTTAGTATCTGGGTTAAGAGCATAAGGATTTGCACACCGATGGGCAAATTGGGTGACAGCTGCCATCCACTGACTCGTAAAGTTAGTATCTGTGTGTACCTTCCCAGTGCGTCTCTGTATTGCCGTACCTTGACTTCCAGCAAGAGAGCGTTAACAATGGATAATGTATACAATGAATTGTGCCCTCGGACTTCTTCTTGCAGTGATTTTTTTTTCCTACCATTGTTCTCATGGTATTAGAAATACTACCAAAGTAATTTGTAGTACATGGACTCGTGAGGAATTACATTGGACAAAAAAAAAAGTGTTATCCACGTGCATGCGTCTTTGCAAAACTCAAAGTATCAACGTTGTAGAAAAGACTTGACCTATTGATAAGACAGAAGAAAATAGGTATATGTTTTGCTTTGGTGAGAAAAGCACCAATAATGTAATTATTCTTATGCTTTCTTGTTTTGTGTTGTTTCTTGGACACAAAGATCTTATCATTTATTTCAGGCTGACCTGAAAACTCTATCTAGCCCAAACTGGTCTGGAACTAGTGATCTTCCTGCCTCAGCCTCCCAAGTGCTGGGATTACAGTCCTGTATCACCATGCCTGGTCAAGTACTGTTCTATTATTTTTTCCCTCCGTTCCTCTAGGGTACATTGGTCCTGATTTTAGAAATCAGTGACACTTTCAAATTTCAAATGATCAGGTTGGCAAAGCAGTTGGCAGTGAACAGCATGACCCCAAACCTATGGGAATAGACTGGACCCCATTTCAGAAATTGTCCCTAGGGGTTGCCGTAGATTTGCATTACATCAGGAAGCTGTGTGGACCTGGAGTTTCCTTGCCCTATACGTGGTAACACAGAATGGGCTCAGCAACATCTCCCAGGATGTCTTTCTTTGGTCTACCTATCAGCCATTCAGAGGCACAGAGAGGAGATCCAGGCCAGGAAGCCTGTCTGGAGCTCAGCTGTGCTGTTGGGGGTGCTCATTGTACATTGTATCCTCTCATTCACTGGAAAACAGATTGGATATTCTTGAACCAAGCAGAATTCTATCTCTTGCCCACTCCCTCCCCCTTTTTTCACATATGATCAAGATGTACTAGAACCAGACATCTTGCCTGTCATCCACAGTCCCTGGTAATACTATTCTGATCTTCTCTGCATGTTGCTGAGGTTTCCCGGTGAGGGCTGGAATGTGGATTATGGTTGTTTGGGGAGGAGTGGTCAATCCGCAAACTTTGCTTGCTGCCGGCTTTCCTGTGGTTGCCTTGTGAAATGCTTGGGGTTAGGCCTAAGTGATGCCTCCCTGGGGTTTCGCCATTCCACAGCACTCACTGCTAAACGTGACATGCACCTTTTTATTCTTGGACACTTTAAGACAGTAAAGGTTTCAAACTATATGAGTCATCTGCCCCAATGCCAAACTCAACACAAGCAGGTGAGGCTGCAGCCCCGGTACCTTGTCCCTCTTCCTGACTCTGGGCCCTCCTTCCTAAAGGCACTGTCTGAAACGTTTGCTCTTTCTGCTTTAAGAACTACCTTTTTATGTATTGTTGGTATCACACTGTAGAGGGAACAGAAGCAACAAGGCTAAGCATGTGGCTTGTGTTAATAACAGTAATGGTTGGGGCTTGGTAAGGGCAGCAATGTGTCAGATATGCTGCAGTGGACGTCTTCTCTGTAGTTCTTACACAATTGTCACTGCAAGTCTGAGCACCATGGAGGCTGATCTTTGTCACACTCCACATAGGACAGCACTAAGCCTCAGAGGTATTCACTGGCTAGCTGGGGTCACACAAGCTCTATGTAAGAGAAGGTACCCCAGATACCCCTTCTTTCTGTCACTCCAGTCTGTGTCCCCGGGCTTTTTGTGCTCATGTGGTTCCAGTATATGAGCCACAGCTCCGCTTCTGGCTTTTTGATGGTTAAGTGGAGATAAGAGTCTGGCAGATTGTTTTTCCCAGGCTGGTTTAAACTATATTTCTCAGATTGAGGCCTTCTGGGTAGCTCGGATGACAGGCATAAGCTACTGACAACCCAGCTCTGATGTTCTAGGAATTAAATCTTTAAACAACAGATTATGGTTATCATAATAAAAATGAAGCATTCAAATCATAGACACACTGAGTGGAAAGGTTTTTGAGACCAGGTACTGGTGGCTCATTTTGTAAGATTCTTTCCTCCACTAAGGGACACTTTCATAACACCTGTGAGCTCAGCCAAGACAGGAATTAGGCAGATGTCAGCTCAGGCATGCACCCAGGTAGACAACAAAAATAACCAGCAAAAACGAAGGTTGGATGAATGGCTCAAATAGTAGAGCACCATCTAGCAAACATGAGGCCCTGAGTTCAAATTCCAAAACAAAAGAGAGACAAGGTTTCAGATTAGGTTTTAACCTTCTCTCCATTTAAATGTCCACTTGAAAGGTAGCTAGAGTGTGATTTTATAACCCTTTTTTCCATATTGAAATTGGGATATTTTTTCCATCTTGAAAATGTACTTTTTAAGGTCATTTTGATGAGCTTTTTAAACACTGGGTACCAGAGTTACTATTTGTTACAAATGAAATTACCTGTTCTGGGGGGAAATGTAATTTCTTCCATAGTGTCTCTGAACTATATTCTCTTCAAAATCAATCAAGAAAAAAAAGGTTTTCATAAACATACATTATGAAACATACACAGATACATGTTTACTAAGAAAGGACAATATTTTCTAAACACATTCTTCTTGGCAGTACTAAGGTTTAAACACTGGGCCTCGAGTTTGCTAGACAAGTACCCTAATCCTTGAGCCATGCCCTCAGCCTTTCTTGCTTTACTTTGTTTTGAGGGTCTCACACTTTTGCCCATGCTGGCTTCAGACTTTGATCCTCCTGTTTCCACTTTCCAAGTAGCTAGGATGATAAGCATGAACAGACCCCACATATTACTGAAGTTAAGGTCTCACTCATTTTTAACTTTTGCCTCCAACTGAAATCCTCCTGTCTCTGTTTCTTGTTCTAAATGCAATTTAGAGTAAGTAACAGTCTTAACATATTTACTTTATTTTTAACACATAATAAATGCATGGCTTACACAACCTTTTTTATGTTGTTTGGTTTTGAGACAGGTTCTTAAACTCATTGTCTTCCTGCCTTAACCTCGGTAGTGCTAAGATTACAGGCATGTACCACCAATGTCGACTAGCCTGTTGCCCTTTCGTAAACGCCATTTTCTCTGTAACAGTATTGCAGTTTGAGTGAGAATCGTGCCATTGCAGGCTGGGGAAATATGAGGGATTGAACTCAGGGCCTCCTGCTTGCTACAAATGCCACATCTCTAGCCCTAAGAAACATACGTTTCTGAAAGCTTTGGTAACTGGGAGAATTTGCTGCTTGCATTTCCAGGCTAATAGGAATTAAGATTGAGTATTCAAATGATTTGAAAGTAAACTGTCAAGTTTGGACTGAACGTACTGTGGCAAGCATTTTTCGTGTAGACGTAGCTATGAGATACCTATGGGCTGGTCACCCGATGTTGGTGAATGCAGTAGTGTATATAATCTCCGCAGTGCCTCTCACGTGTATAATCTCAGCAGGCGTAGTCACAGATGGCAGGGGAGGAGGGATATGACCATGTCTGGTGCTATTAAGAAAGGCTCTATGGAGAAAAGGGGAGATACACTCACTGGATCTTGAATAAGGCACCTGGGTTTGAATAAGAGAAGGCAGGCAATCTGGAGTCAAGGGGCCTGCAGCGTTCTGTAATCCTTACGTTCTCTGTAATCCTGGAGGTAGATTACGTTGCTGCCTATGTTGAATTTTTAATAAGCAAAAGAATACAACCACACCTGTAATCCCAGCTACACAGAAAGCTGAGAGGGAGGATCTCGAGTCAACCAATAAAAAGCAAAAACAAACAAACAAACAAAAAACCTGGGCACTGAGCAGGGCGGCCTATACCTGTCATTGCAGCTAGCCAAGTAGCATAAATAGGAGGATTGTAGTCCAGGCTAGCCTAGACAAAAAGCAAGACTCTATCTGAAAAATACTGAAAGCACAACAAATTGGAGGCGAGGCTGAAGTGGTAGAGTGCTTGCTTGATACAGATGAGGCCTTGAGTTCAAACTCAAGTACTACAACTAATTGAATGACCCCAGTACTGCAAATCAATGCCTGATATTTTTTTTTAAAGAATACAAAGATACGTTGGGGAGTTTCACAAGAATGTTTGACCTTGTAAACACACAACCAGGGTTCCTCCCTCCCAACCCAAGAACAGCCTGCCCCTTTAGTATCCTTGGCTACATGCTAACTCTGTGCTTGGCAGCTTGAATCAAGCTGGGCCTGCTCAGTGCCAAGCACATGAGAGCAAATGGTGTGAAGTGATGCTACAGTATCCAGCAAGGAAGAGAGCCTGCATCTGTGTTAGGGGTAGATGTCACAGGCATTTGGCAGAAAATTGCCTTTAAATTTTTTTTGTTATTATAAAGGTGACATACAGAAGGGTTCTCGTTACATACGTCAGGTAAAGCGTACATTTCTTTTTGGACAATGTCACCCCCTTCCCTTGCTCTCTCCCAGTTTTTTCCTCCCATCCTCACCCACAAGTCCATTTTCAACATAGTGTCTAGTGAGCTCCACTGCTGCATTTGTTCACCCTTTATCACTCCATTTCTGTGCCCCTTTACTTTCCCAAAGACAGAAAAATGAACAAACAAGACAAAAAGAAAAGAAATAAAGACAAAGGAAACAAACATCTTGTTTCCATTCCCTGGAATTCATTTTGTAAATATTATTTTATATGATCAGAGGTACAAAGGCATTGTGCCTTTGTGTCTCTCCACCCCTCCCCCCCAAAAAAAAAATTATCCTCATTTGGTCTCACTGTATGTGACTGCCTAGAGACCTGTATACTGTATCGCATCTCACGGTATTTTAGATCTAGCTTCCACACATGAGAGAAAGCGCACACCGCTTATCTCTTGCTTGTTTACCTCACATAACATGATTTGTTCCATTTAAAATATATCCTTAGATATCTTCTTTTTGAAGTAATAGCAGAAACTTAATTTTACTCGATATGCCTTTTAAATTTTTTTACTGTTCTTGTAAAGGTGATATACGGAGGGGCTGCAGTTACCTGAGTCAGGTAGAGAACACATTTCTTTTGAAGAATGTCACCCCTCCCCTCCAGCCCTCCCAGTTTTTCTCTCCCATCCCCACCCACAAGTCCTATAGTTCGTTTTCGGCATAGTGTCTCGTGAGGACCATGGCTGCATTTGTTCACCCTCTGTCCCTCCAGTTTTGTGTCTTGGCCTTGCCTTATTCTCCCAAAGTCATATAAATGAAAAAAAAAAAAAAACAGAACAAAAAGAAAACAAAACAACAACAAAAAAGAAAAAAGAACTCCTGTATTCATTTCCTGAAGTTCATTTGGATGAATATTGTTTTACGGAATCAGATGCATGGAGGCTTTGTGCCTTTCTGTTCCTCTCCTAAAAGTATCCTCCTCTGGTCTCGCTGTGTGTGAACACCTAATCAGACCCGTAGAATTGAGATCTAGCTTCCACATAGGAGAGAAATCACGCACTGCTTGTCTCTGAGCTTGGCTTACCTCACTTCACATGATCTGTTCTAGGTCCATCCATTTAAAATACTTCCTTGGATGTCTTCTGTACCTGGTCTTCTGTACAAAGACCGCAGTCATGGCCTCCTCTTCTGAGGAGCTGGAGTCCAGGCATGGTGGCAGTTGAGAGGAAAGACAAAGTTAGACCTGACCAACCATCACCCAGCTCCTGTTCTCCCTAGCTGAGTGACCTTCACTGCCACAGAGAGCTGCTTTGCCAGTCCCAAAGGAAATCTGGTCCTTGGGTTTGGGGTGATGTTTATAGCTGTGAATCCCAGCCCAGGGTCAACAGATAGTATTCTGTTTCCTTTCTGCTGCTTCCAAGGCCCTAGCAGCCCAGAGTAATGGCAGTGACATGGTGCACGAAGCTCAGACTATGGACACTGTGTGGGCACTTCCTAGTCCTGGGAACTATCCCTCTGTCATTGTTAACATGTCAGCAGGACACCGTGGTAAATTTGTACGAACCCTAGCTTCTCAGGAGCCTGAGATCTGAGTACCATAGTTTGGAGCCAGCCCCAGCAGAAAAGCCCATGAGACTTTTGTCTCCAATTACCCAGCAAAAAGCAGAAAGTGGAGGTGTGGCGCAAGTAGTAGAGCACCAACCGTAAGGGCAAAAGCCAAGCAAGAATGCCTCATCATGACAAGGGGCCTCTTCTGCACATCATCGCTATGCACTCAGCACCAAAAACCGTAACACTGACACACTGCCGAGTTCTCACTTACTTTGGACTCATTGTTCTTGAGTTTTGCTTCCTGTGGTCTGTTTTTTCTCATCCTCAGCGCTGTGGACATTTTGAACCAGGTCAGTCTGTGTTGTGAAGGGCTCTCTTGGTGGTTCAGGATGGTCAGCAACATTTCTGGCTTCTCCTCGCCGAATGTGAATAGCTGCCAGTTGTTAACAATTAGGAATATCCTTGTATATTGCCATGTGTCTCCTGGGGGCACACGGAGCGTGGTTGAGAAGATTGAGCCTGATTGAGAAAAGCACCTTCCTGTTCAGGTGTGTGATGCTTGACACCTCAGAGTCTGTGGTTCTAAACCCATTGTAAAGGCCATTGATGGTCACTGCACACACCATCTACTTGTAAGGCAATCCAGCTGAGCCCACCTCCTCTGATGTGTTTTGGTGGCAGTGATGGAGCCCGCCCCCTACCCCGTACCATGACTCACACAGTGGCAGAACCATTCTGAGCACAAGTCTGCACTGCTCCAATGGGCAGCGTCCTTGTGCGGAGACACTGGAAGTAAGGACGTACCAAAAGACAAAGGCACTAAGATAGCTCAGCACGTCGGGCCATGCATGTTGACTTGCCCAATGCTCCCCGCCCTCCTTTACTTCCCTTTCTCCCCTTTGTGTTTATTGATGTCAGTCATCTCCTGACCCTTCCAGAGCCATTTTGCAAATGGAAGGCAGGAAAGAAGAATGAAGAAGAGAAGAAAAAGGAAAAAGGAGGTAAGAATGCAAGCATGGTGTCACGGAGAGATAAGCCCAGAATTATTAGCTTTGACTCTCCCCTCCTCACACCCAACCCATAGAACTGGGTCCGAGCTATCAGTTTGATGTTCAAAATTAGGTTGGAATGGTTCTGCCACTGTCTGAAGATAGCGTTCTTATTGTGGAGAGACTTGGGTTTTGAGACTATCTGGTAGATGTAGCTCAGATTTTCCCACAAGGAGAGAGCGTTGGTGTGGGTAGCCTCCTTGGGTAAGATGGTAGCATGCTGGCATGGTATCTGATAAAGCATTTGAGCCTGGAAGCTGAAGGAACACGAATTTTTGAAGCCTGGTCTGTCGTAGTTACCTGTGTCACATTACCCTGAATTGAAGCCTTTGGCCATTGTCTTTTTCTTGCAGTAGTACAGCTCCAGAGCTGGCATTCGACACATTTTTCTTCTTTGGACTTTTTTTTTTTTTAATTTGGCAACAAGGTCTTCTGTGTCCCCGTCTAGCCTTAAACCTAGAATCTTCCTGTTTTTGCCACCTTCCGAATGCTGGGTGTATAGGCATGCTCCACCATGCCCAGCCACAGCATCAAACTTTCTTCATACAGCTTTTTTTCTCTCTCTCCAGCTCTTAAGAACATTTCTGGTCCTAGGGGAGGAGAAATGATTTGGTCTCTCCTGATTATAGAAATCATACATGATTTTGAGTGTGTTCTACTTCCTCTAGCACAAAGATCTACCATGATAACTGCTGGTTCACTCACCTTGTGTCAGCCTCACACATGCACAAAGCGGGTTGTGGAGTGACAGAATGAATCAGAGCTTTCTATCTGGGCCATCCTGGGTCCCATGGCCTAGCTTGTTGCATGTCTATAAATGGAGTTCCTCTTTCCACAATTCTCCTCTGTTCCTTAAAAAAAAAAAAAAAAGCAACAAAACAGCACAAAGCAAAAAACAACAGAAATTAGTCTCAGCTTTTCTGTTATTTCTATGCAAATGTGTAAATGTAAATATTACTGCTTGACTATGGATCTATTTGCTTGTTGATATAAGCATACCCATGGTATTGGACTCTTCTTATGGAGTTAAAGTAGAAGATCACACACATAAAAAAGAGAGAAAGAAAGAAAGAGAGAGAGAGAGGGAAAGAAAGAAAGAAAGAAAGAAAGAAAGAAAGAAAGAAAGAAAGAAAGAAAGAAAGAAAGAAAGAAGGAAGGAAGGAAGGAAGGAAGGAAAGAAAGAAAGAAAGAAAGAAAGAAAGAAAGAAAGAAAGAAAGAAGGAAGGAAAAGAAAGAAAGAGAAAGAGAGAAAGAAAGAAAAGGACAAAAAACTTGGTATCTCTGGTCCAGTCCCAGCTAAGCTTAAGTCCCAGATCTGTGACCTTACGTGGCTTGTCTCTGTGCCTCTCTCTCTTAGCTGGAAAATGGGTACAGTTAAGCCACAGGCCCCCTTCACAAGGCCATGGTCAGGATGAGTGTGGATGGCACATGCAAAGCCACTAATTTGGCTTTCTATCAGTTCTTCCCATTGATAATAATAATTCACTAGCAATTACTGGAATCTGTCTGAAGAATGGTGGTGTTGGTTTTGCAACATTTTCCTGCTCTGACTCAGTTTTCTTTTGTTTTTCTTTTAGGTTCCATTTTTTGGGAGGAGAATGCACCATACTTGTCCATGTCTGCCAGGCTTGGCTTGTTTACGGACTTCATTTAACCGGTTTATTTGTCTAGCCCGAAAGTAATTGTGTTGGAGTAGAAACTTTAAATGTGAACAGCACACCATGTCTGTAACGTCTTGTGATTGTGCCAAACAAATAATGCCAGAGAGCTTTTTGCTTTCTCTACTTTCCAAGTAACTTCCCCCCCCCCACCCCCATCTTTGATTTTTAAAATGATTTTTTTGTTTTAATTGAAAAGAAATTTTGGTTTTTGGATGGAAATGCAAAGTGCAAAGCATTACGGGAACAGTTCTCATTTCTATGTTTTGGTTTTGTTTAGGTTTTTCTTTTATGCCAGTAACTCGCCATTTTCAAGGAGGAAAATACGAACTGATACTTTTGTTAGAGACATTTTTTTTCTTACTACTCCTTTCTCAACCCCTGCCCTAACTTCACACACACACACACACACACACACACACACACACACACACACACATTTTATTCTCGCTGTCTTCTTATCGTTAAAGAACCTCAGTACCTTTACTTTCCCCACCATTGACCTTCCCACCACCACTTTAAAGTGGAGTTCTACCCCATTAGCATGTTAATGGAATTGCCAGTTAGAATTCAGCTGTTCCTCAGATTAGAGGTACAACTTAATTCTGACTAAGGAGTTCAGTTGAACTAAAGGCTTCAACTTCTCTTACGGAGTGAATATTGGAAGCAGTTCTAGAAGGTTCCTGAGCCTCCATAACCCAATGGACTTCAGTTGATTGGTACGAGGAAAGAACAGAACGGAAGTCCAATTAATATTGTCTAGATTGCTAGCTTTGGTATTTTATTTAAATAAAAGATATCATTCCCCATACAACATTACATTGGTTTCTCTTTATGACTTTTTTTTTTAAAAGTCTCCTAGTTAGAGATGTTCTCCAAAATGTCACTTGATGAGGAAGCATTGATTTTAATATTGCATAACACTAGTTACCATTCTACAATTGGTGTTGTTATCATTTAAATTTTTATTTGTAGCCCAAAAGTCTATTGTAGTAGATTTGCCTGATAATCTGACATTTGTGCTGGTATCAATAGCTCTGTGTAAAAATTCTGTATCAGAATAATGACAGTACTGTATATCACTTGATTATTTTAATATTATATCCTTACTTTCATCACGGTGGTCATCAGTCTTTATTACAAATAGGTGTCTGTGTAGGCTAATCTGAAATGGGGCAAAGACTGAGAAGTTGTTAAACTAGCCTTAATGTTGTGTTCATTTTCATGCTACATGCGGGAAAGTTGTGTGTTCTCGTGAATTTTCAGGTTGTAAAACAATGAGAAAACCTGAGTCCTGAAGGGAAATGACAACATGAAAAACGGAGGGTCACGGTGAATGGAGACTGGGCCTTCCCAGCAACAGGTGAGGCGGGGGCTGGGTGCCAGCCAGACCCCATGCCCATGTGCTTTGGGCCTGGAAGAACCCGAACGCAAATCGATTTAATGTCACCAATAAACCACCTATGAGATGCAAAGTGTAACGGACTCCACTGGCCCATGCCCACACACGGACTTCCCAAACAACAACAATCCCTGGGGTATTGACCGCTGCCCCTGGCACGCCCTCTTTCCCCTGGCCCAGCAGAGCACAGACACAGATGGGATTTTGTGTGCTAATTGCTCTGTTTGGAGAGACAAGTGTCTGTTTAGGTTAGTTAATGTTCACGAGACATTCCTCAGCAAGTTCTAGGAAACACATTTGACCTGTCCACACAGTCTTACCTCTCCCTTCCCACTTGTTCTTTTTAAAGCACTTTTGCCAGATTTCTTTCCATATGATAGTCAATGCATCCTATTATCATAGGTGGTGAAAACTCAATTGGCGTAATCCCCCATTTTCATCAAAGTTAAACACATAACCAACCTTTAAACAATTTTGTTCTTATGTATACCAATCCAGTTCTGTTTTGTTTTGTTTTAAAGCTAGTACCTAAAGGGAAAGGCTCCACGTCCAAGAGAACAGTGTGGAAAATTAACCATGAATGGTACCTGCTCCTCACCCTGCCAACCAAAGATGCATATGACTTTGCCATTTGTTGCCTTTCCCCTGGATCATTGCTCCTGTGTGTGTGTGTGTGTGTGTGTGTGTGTGTGTGTGTGTGTGTGTGGCACACGCACTGGGCACGCGTTACACTACTGGGGCTTGAATTCAACGTCTGGGTGCTGTCCCTTAGCTTTTTCACTTAAGGCTTTGCCACTTGAGCCACAGTTCCACTTCAAACTTTGGTGGTCCACTTGGGAATAAGAGGCTTCATAGATATTTCTGCCCAGGCTGACTTGAACCATGATGCTCAGATCTCAGCCCCCTAATTATCTAAGATTATAGATGTGAGCCACCAGCACTCAGCTACTCCTGTTGTTTTCAGTATGCCTTTGTATTTGGACATCATTTTTTAACTTGTTACCAAAATCAACATCTTTCAAATAATTGCTCCTCAAGTCTTGGAATCTGGGAAGTTCTTTGAGTTTCATGCAAAGCACTCAGGGTCTTGTGTTGTGAAGGTGGTGGGGCTGTTTCTTCCGGCTCCTAGGATGGTTTCTCACAGTTCTGGGACTTTGTTCTGGCTAAAGCAAGTGGAGATTGTCAGAAGAGAGACAAAGTCAACAGTCTATTTTGGTAAAAATACGAAGAATGAATTCTATCCATTTTAAGGTAGAAAGAGATGTTAGGTCAGAAGCTAGTGACCAAACTTAGGTGAACCTTTGGCCTTCTTTGCCACGATTGACTTCCATAGAAAGTACCCCTTCTGTTTTTCACCTTTCATTAAAAGAAATGTAATTAGCTGGCAGCCAGTGGCTCATACATCATCTGAGGACTGCGATTCAAAGACATCCCGCACAGCAAAGTCCTTAAGACCCCAGCTAACCAGCAAAAAGACAAGTAGAGCTGTGGATCGAATGGCAGAATGCTAGCCTGGAGCACAGAAGCTCAGAGACAATGCCCGGACCCTGAGCTCAAGCCCCAGGAACAGTGTGTGTGTGTGTGTGTGTGTGTGTGTGTGTGTGTGTGTGTGTGTGTGTGTGTGCGTGTGTGTGCGTGTGTGTGTTTATATGTGCACGCATGAGCAGGCATGTGTACACGTGCACGCGCGCGCACACACACACACACACACACAAACACAAACACACATTTTAACAGTAGCTCATGCCTGTAGTCTTAGCTACCCAGAGGACTGAGATCTGAGGATGGTGATTTGGCAAAAAATTCATCAAGATTCTTATGTCTAAATAACTGACAAAAAGCTAGAAATGGAAGTGTAGCTCAAGTGGTAGAGCATTAAGTGAGAGCATGACATCTTGAGTTCAAGTCCCAGTAGTAGCATACACATACACACACATGCACACACACACATGCACACACACGCATACACATACACACGCTCACACACACACACACACACACACACACACACACACACACACACACATCTTCTTTTGGGCATAGAAAATTTTATAAACTTTCCTTACAAATTTTCCCATCCAAATGACCACCGCAGCACTAGATCTAGCCACCAGCCACGTCTGCATCACTAGTGCTGTCAGAAATCCCATCCCACTCATTTTCAGAAAAAGAAAAAAGAAAAGAGTAAATTCAAGGAGTATTTGAATTTAAAAAGCCAGGACATTTTCTGTGATTTAGTGAGGACCATTGTAAAACCCTCTGGCAACTCTTGGCAATCTTTTCATCTTCACATTGCCATGTATTTCTGAAAATATCCTTGGAATATCATCTTTGGTTCTATAATGCCTTCCCTAATTTTTTGCTTCCTGGTGATCACTTTTGCATGAAAAAAGTATTTTTTTCCAGTATTTTAAAAGAAACATTTCATTGGCCAATACAACTTGACATATATATGTGTTGTACAACATATTTGGGGGTAAGTACACTTTGTGGAATGACTAGGTTGAGCTATGTGCTTTTGGTTGTGAGAACACTCGCCTACTCTTAGTGTGCCATATTATAGTCACAATGCTGACTGAGACAGCTGACACCCAACATTTATTAATACATCTTAAAGATGTCCGTCTTTAATAATGAGACGCATAAGTGAATTGTATTATCCCCTGCCCCCAAATTATACATAGGCATATGTGTGTGCATACACACATTTATTCACATATAGAGAAATAGATATTCACACCTATTTGGGAATGCCCAGAATGCGTGTTTCCTAATTTTACAAGTGCCATCAGTGTGCTATTCTTTCCTTTGTCTTTGAGACCAGTCTCCCTGCATATCCCAGCCTCTCCTGCACTCTCAATCCTCCTACCTCAGCCTCCCAGGTTTCATGTATACAGGCCCAGCTCACATGCCGCCCTCGAAGTCCAGTCATCCACCATCTTCAAGGGGTGTCATTTGATTTGTCAGGGTGAGACCTAGATGTTGAGATTTTTTTTAAGCTTCTCAAATTCTAAGGCGGATCCAAAGTTGAATGCCACTGAGAAAGAACAAAGGTCCACTCTTGTATGAAAAGGCTAACCATGACAATATTGACTGAGATATTTCTCTCATTTCATGAGACGGGAAGGAAATGGCTCAATATCTTCTTTTTTTCCTGCCACCCTCCGAAGTTCCTGTGACCCTTAGCATGAATAACTCTGTTTACTTTCATCTACATCAAGGCTTGCCAAGGGTCAGCACTGGAGAATTCAGTGGCAGTTATATGTGTAGTTCTCTGTATAACTATATATACACATTTATTCTATAAATATACAACTATATAGTATAAATATGTAATGCGTATTATTATTTTATATTTAATATGTATTTAAGTCTGTGCTCCTTAGAGCTATGACAGTGCCCTGGATTCACCCAGCTGCTCCCTGCTCTCCTGTGGCCTAGGGCTTTAGGCTTGATTGCAAGTCCTTCCACATCTCCTGTAGGTATCTTTCGTGGGACCTGGCCTTTGAACCATCCCCAACAGATGCCTTACCCCGCTTGTATCCCAGGATTTCATTCTGTCCTACAGAGTGTAAATCATCAGAATGTCTGAGGTCCAATTTGCACCACATCGTAATTGAATAAATCAGACCTATAATCACTGCAATCAAATATACCCAAAGCAAGAAGGTGGGAAATTGTTCTGACTCCTGGTGACAAAAGTGCACAAGTCTGTCTGTGGGTCTTATGTGCATTCAGAGCGTGTGTCCTGGGGCCACGTGGGGACTAAAGGGTGAAGTCTGGAATGCTCCTGCATGCAGTTGTCCCAGCAAGGCAAATCTTGGCCTACTGTATAGAGTGACAGCTGGAGAATATTTCCACACCCTTGCTCACATCAGTCCTGTCCTAGGTTTCTTCACCTGGATGCTAAGAATGTTCTGGGCCATGTTATATGAGGCCTTCAGTGGAGTTGAAGCAGCTCCCCTGGTGGCTACCCATTAGATGCCAG